AGGTTTGTTTCTTGTATTTTGTCCATTGCTTTCTTTGTAATTAGGTTTTTTGTTTAGTGGCACCAGTTCATTAGTCGTTATCTGTAATTACGTAATCAATAGCACTTCGATCCTATTTAATGCTCTTTTTTATTTCAAAAGTTGTAAATAACTGAAGAAGGTCTCTGACCGAAACATTTTTTATTAAAATTTTTTATATTTTTTACGTCAGAAGTTGTCCATCCTCGCAATTTTTTAAACTTTCTACGTTCGTCTTGGCTGTGAGGTTTGGACTGCGAATCTTTCTTGATCCTCCTGGCGCGGTGCACCTTTGTTGGCCTGAGAGTTTTAATAACGACTCCCTATATATATCTCATATATATATTATATATATATTATATATATTATATATATTAAATATATATTATATATATTATATCTATATATATATATTATATATATCCATATATATATATATATATATATTTATATATCTATATATAAATATATAGATATTTATATATAGAGCAGAGGTTACATCTTTTACTTGAGCTGTTGTACGGCGAGTGTGATGAGAGAATGCGCCAGGAAATAAAGTGTTCGATGTTGTTGTCTTTGAGGGTCCAGATGTGCTTCCTGAGTTCGATGGACTTTCTGTGTTTATATATATATATATAATAAAAACATGGCATGGCTTAGACGATACCACAAAGGTTGGGTCGTTTGGGGTGACCGTCTCGGTTCTAGCATCATATATATATATATATATATATATACATACATGTATATATATATGTATATTTATAAGTTAATGAACGAGAGAAAGTCAGAGAAAATATTTTCACAGTTGTGAACTGATTAACCTGGCACTCCCTTAACTCTTTACACCTTAACATCAGTATACATCTTTATCTTCTCCATACTGCACTGCATGTCAGACATTCACCTAAGTGCTCTTATAAGCTTCGCTGACAAGCTCTCCTTTAAAACCCTTTAGCTCCTGACATTGACTAACATCCTATTTTTCCCTACAATTTCACTACTGGATCTAAACACCAAAGTCACGAGAATAAAGAAAATGATCACGAAATAAAACGGCTCTTGACTGCCTTGCAAATTCTCATTGTCGATGCCCCTGGACGTGTGCACAGAACAATGCACGCTCTCGCCTAAAAAATGCTCCGATTCCCGAGACGACCAAACTGGTAAAGGGCTCTCAAAGCGATTTTCTTATTTTTAGTATTCCGTTGTTTGATGAATCACTGTGTACAATTTTGTAACAGCCTTGAAAATCGAACTCAATAACCCAAGCTAAATAATGAATTCGGTGACCCAGTTTGACAGCGATAAACGTGTCACGGTTTATATCCTTGTATGTTTTACGCAAAATTTATGGGGTGGGTCCAGAACCACCTTACATTTGCCACCTTCAACCTTTAACCCAGGATGCAATGAAAGCTCTCTCTTTCCTCTCTTGGTCTCTTCACCGTTTTCTCTTTCACTCAGTGTAGACTATCATCAATCTAAGCCCTTAGTCTTCTTCTCAGTCCCTTAAGTTTACGATGTAACACAATCCACATGGCATAACTTGACTTACTGTCACGAAACGCACCTTAGCACACCGTGACATGACCTATTCGTGCATGTATCTTAGTTACCTCTTTGGTACCATTTTGCTTGCTTTTGCTAGCTTTCAAATCTGCGTCATGACGTATGGTACTGGCTTTACATTCTTTGGTCAGCTGCAGATCATGAAGTGAATACCACAAGTTTTAGCATCAGTAAAATCTGTCTGATGAGTGCGTAAGCACGAAACTCCGAATAAAAGAAACCATGTGTCGTCTTGTTTGATCGCTACCTGTATTGAGCTCTGCACATGCGTATTGAGAACTATTCAACGGTATCGAGAGAGTCAGAGAAACTATTTTCACAGTTGTGAACTGATTAGCCTCACTCCCTTAACCCTCTTCACCTCAACATCAGTATACATCTCCATCTTCTCCATACTGTTCTCTACACACGTCCAGGGGTACGGACAAGGAGAATTTGTAAGACAGTCAAGAGCCGTTTTAGTCCGTGATCATTTTCTTTATTCTCGTGACCTTGGTGTTTGATTCAGTAGTGAAAATATAGGGAGAAATAGGATGTTAGTCAATGTCACGAACTAAAGGGTTTTAAAAGAGAGCCTATCAGAGAAGCTTATAAGAGCACTTAAGTGAATGTCTGACATGGAGTATAGTGCACACTCTCGCCTAAACAATTCTACGATTCACGAGACGACCAAATCGGTATTTAAAGGGGACTCAAAGCGATTTTCTTACTTTTAGCATTCCGTTGTTTGATGAATCACAATGTCTTGAAAAACGAACCCAATAACACCAACTAAATAATGAAGTCGGTGTCTAATGGCGATAAACGTGTCACAGTTTATATCCTTGTATGTTTTACCCAAAATTTATAGGGTGGGTCCAGAACCATCTTACATTTGCCACCTTCAACCTTTAAGCCAGGATGCAATGAAAGCTCTCTCTTTCCTCTCTTGGTCTCTTCACCGTTTTCTCTTTCACTCAATGTGGACTATCATCATTCTAAGCCCTTAATCCTGTCCTCAGTCCCTAAAGTTTACGATGTAACACAATCCGCATGGTTTAACTTAACTTACTGTCACGAAACACACCTTGGCAAACCGTGACATGACCTACTCATGCATGTATCTAGTTACCTCTTTGATAGCATTTTGCTTGCATTTTCTAGTTTCCCAATCTGCGCGATGACGATCAACTCCATCAGAGCATCTACAATCATTAAGAACAAGCGGTCACCTCTCTGCCACAGAACTCAGTAACATAAACGCACTGCTCCGACAGCTCTATTTACGATCGCTTTCATTTTAATAGCGTATTAACTCCTAAACAGACCCTTTACTCACACGTTTTCTCATTTTTTTTAGGCAGCCGCGGACAATTTCAGTAATACGCTTTCTTTTGCTTTAAAAACTCTCGTCACCAGACTTTCATAAGGAAATCTTACTGACTTCTAAGTCTTATATTAATCGATCGATGTAACAATGATTTCATATATTACGGTCCGAAATTCTAGGTTTTGCACTGTGGACCTACACTCCAAATTTACTTTTATTTGGTCATACTCCTCAACGAATCTTATTAGTCTTGGGAATACCACTTGTTCTCGAGTAAAAATTCAAGCGTACTTCAGTGAAGCTTGTTGGATGGATGAGTGGGAGGGGGGAACGTTACGGGAAATGGAAAAAGAGGTATGGGAAGAGGGAGGAGTGAGTGAGGAGGTAGGGAGAGGGCGATGGCAGGGGGGGGATGGCAGGTAGGAATAGCATGGGAATAGCCTTTAATGGTCTAGCAGCCCATACTGGGAATGCAAGTCGTTTTATCACCGAAACTGGGATAAGCTCTTACTCTTAAGATGAAACATGATCTACAGTGTTATATTTTGAAGTGATAAGTGACCAACCTGTTCAATTCAGGACACCATTCACAAGTGAAGTTAGATTGCTCGGTCCGATTCATGCAGAGAGAACATGAATGGGCGCTCACGCAATCTGTAACAACAGATATTATTCACATTATGAATCGGTCAAATATTTTTTGTATCACCTGTTAAAACTACCCTTTACCCGACAGCAGTGCTGAAAATTTACATGTACCACCGTTTTCAATCTTTCTCAAACCAAGTATCATCAGAAGTTAGAACTTACTAAGTTGGGGTTTAAAGATGACTGCCACGTTGTCCTTCACACTCTCCATGGTGATGTTAATCGTACTGTAGATGTAGAAATATCGGTAGCGAACCTGCCTTCTCTTGACTTCGATTACAAATGCGTCTGCGATGCCAACTTTGACAGGGTGGTAAGGTAAAGCTGGAATATTTGCCACATTAACTGGGATCTATAACGTGGAGAGACACAAGAGGTTTGTAATTCTAGACACTCCTGAAATCAAAACTCGTTTACTCCCAACCGGTTGAGAGTTTTCTTGTACATCTACTTAGTGTACGCCTACAAGAGTAGCATAGTGAAGGAGAAGTGTGGCGAGGCGAGGTGGAAGATTGGAGAGAGGTGAGGTGGTGGTATATACTGTAGAATAAGTAATGAGGTATTAGAGAATAGAATAGGACTATTAGGAAGGTAACGACTTCATAACAATAGCCATGAGAGGGGCGGCGGGGGTGGAATGGAACAAACTAGGCAAAATCGTTAATACTTGGACAGGAGGGGGCATTCTGAACAGTTGTGAATGGAACTGGATACTGAAAGCTTCTTTTAAACGGAAGAGAATTGTGACGGAGATGAAAATAATGGAGTGAAAGCCGAGCAAGGGCGGAAGAATTGAGGAAGGCGTAGGGGTGCCTTCAAAGGGGGACACTGCAGAGTTCCCGTGAGGTGCCTTCAAAGGGGGTCACAGCAGAGTTCCCGTGGGGTGCCTTCAAAGGGGGACACAGCAGAGTTCCCGTGGGGTGCCTTCAAAGGGAGACACAGCAGAGTTCCCGTTAATGCACATGTGTGGGTCTTATATGCACAAAAAATGAAAAAGACGCAAAGTTTTTGCCAATGTACGCCCTCGGGACGCAGGAAAAAAGTTCCAACTTGTTAGGAGACTGGGTCTGCATCTAGCAACAATGATGGGGCAACCAAAGCAAGCAGTATGGTTAAACAAAAAAAAGGAAATCTTTTGTTTTTGTTGCAACTACTTGCTTCCTTCGGGATGTACTTGGTGTTATCAGTGAATGTAGCAAAGTCTTTCAGAAGGACATGATTGACATTGATCAAATGCAATCAATGCTAGAAGCAACTGTGTCGACGGTCAAAGACATGAAAGAAAATCCTGGTGGGCATTTGGAAGAACTACTTTCCCACATGGAAACAAATGATTGTGAACACAAAGGAACGGAAGTGGAAGACTTTAATCTGTTACAAAGAAATCGTTTCGATGGAATCAAGGACAATTTCATTCACAACATCATAGCACAGGTAAAAGAGAGATTTCCTGAAAAAGATATGCAAGTACTTAAAGATTTCAATACCATTCTAAACCCTGCCAAATTACCCAGCACAGCTGCTGGAATTTGAAATCATGGTACCAAGAATCTAGAAAAACTTAAATTGAGAGATATGCCGATGTATCTGAAGAAGAAAGTCTAATTGATGCTGATGAAGCAAGAAATTCATTGATCCAGTTTAAGCACTTTCTTAATAGTAACAAGGGCAAACCTCTTCATGAACTGTATGAAATTCTTGCAAAGCCAGGTGCTTACGAAGACATACTCCCTTCATTTGTAACCCTAGAACAGGTTTTTCACACAATTTCTCTCATTTCTGTGCCTTGAAAAAGAGGGTTTTCTGCACAAAATCGAATTCATGGGGCCTTAGGAAATAAAAAGTTCCCAAGTGCAGTTGAATGTAAGATGTACATCCAAAAACCATGTAGATGAGGAAAATGTTTGTGATAGAGCAGTAAAGAAATTCTATGAAATGAAGAAAAGAAGAAAGTAAAACTGTAGAATGACACTTGACTGTGACTTCATATGTACATCACATAATTATATAATTTCTGGTGAAATATTACCACATATATTAATAAATAATTTATTAATATATTAATAAATAAGACAAGGTGAGACTCTCACCAGTAAACTAATGCAAGAACTGTTCATATTAAGAAACATGATCACACTTGTACTTTACTCCAAAACTGTAGCTTTTTTGCATAACAGCTGGTCTTGGCTTTTGCCTCTCTAGTAGAAACTATAAATTTAATCATATTTTAGAAAAAAGGCAGGGGATCCCTAAAAAGCTAAAAGGACCCCTAACTTTTTGGAACTGGGGGTCAAAGGGACCCTTAACAATCAAAGCTAGTGGGAACTCTGACACATCTCAATATTTTCATCAAAATGTCAGAAGCATGTATGATGAAATGCAAGTACCTTTTGGTAAGCAAACCAGATTGTGCCATTCTTGTGCAGAGTGCACTGGAATGTAAATGGTCCAGCTGAAAAAACATAACAAGATGTATAAGTGCATCAGTGATAAAAAATGTCTGCATGGCACATCATAAAGGGCTTGTTAACTTTACAAAATCTAAACTAACAAAGTTATTTACCAAACTTAATTTCCATATAAAAAATGCACCCACCCGCAACAAATGCAGTTGTTGTTTGTTTGTTTGTTTTTTCAGGCCTTCCAATTATTGTTGTTTATTTCTTAACTTTTCTAACTTCATTTATCAGAACCTTTCTTATCAGTCTCATTCCAAATTTATTCATACCTGTACATGCACAAGATGGTGACAAAATGTGTAGGCCTCACAATGTGTATCAGAACATGCAAACATTTCATGAAAATTTAAGGTTATCACCTTCATGTCTCCCGGGAAAATCCAACATGACACAATAAACAAACCCAGAGGGGTAGATTAAAGGAATAAGAGATACACATCATTACCTTTACCTTTTGCACCCTAACATCCATATGCTTTTTCTCCATATTGATCTCAATATGCTTTGTAAGGTGCTGGCAAGGCAGGGGTGGATCTAGGGGGAGGATGTAGGGGGTGCACACCCCCCCTGAGCAGTACATATTATGTTATTGCCTAGGCAATAGCCTTCTTCGTATACGCTATTACAATTTGTTTATGTCCAGTCACCAGTCAGTTAAGCCATTCATTAGTGGTGCACCCCCTCCTCTAAAAAATCCTGGATCTGCCCATGCAAGGACACTTTGTTGAAAGAATCCAGAGCATGTTTAGTAGGTGATCATTTCCTTTATTCTCATGACCTTAATGTGAGATTCAGGGAGGGTATTGTAAGGAGAGATTACATGCTGGTCACTCCTTTCATATGTCCATATACCTACCAGATGTGTCACTATGTAAGTAAACTTGGTACCACTCCACTGTCAGTTTGGATTCTGAACAACAAAAAGGAAATAAAAACGTCAAGTTATTTAAAAAATGATTCCATTTACTAGGTAAAGATGTATTTAAAAAAAAAAGAAAATGCTTGGTCATTATCAGGGTACATAAGCACTGTCCACTAAACTGGATATGTTATATCTTAAGGTAATTTCTGATGAGAAAAGTTTCCCAACATAGGGGTTGATTTATCCAGGCACTCAAACTAGGCTTCAAATGTTGGATCAATAGGCCTTCAGTGATTCTGCACCTGTAAATTATTTTAAAATTGATGCAGATTTTGCACCAGCTGAAAAGGATGCAAAGGAAATACTTTTTAAAAACTTTACTAGTTTGAGAGAGTGCAAATCACATAAAAATATAAATCAAAGGAAACAATGAGAATCCATAGCTTAACTCTTTCACTCCCCACTAATTCTCCTTAATGTCTGAAATACAATTCTTATGATGTCAGTTTGGAGAATTTGGCATCAGATCAGCTATTAATCTCCTTATATCCTTTATTTTTGTTTCTTTATTTTCATCGCTTGTCTTTTTGCTACTGTATTGATATTGTAAGGAGAAATTCTGTCTTGATCAAACATGGGTCACAAGAACTCAAGATGATAAAATTTGTAATCAGTAGCTCTACTCTGGGTTGCAATGGTTTGAGAAATATTTTTCCTTCTCTCCAGGGCAATCAGCATCTAACCTAAACTATTAGTTACATGCTACATCAAGCAGACATTTATTGAGAGGGAAAGGAAAATTAATTTAAATTATTAACTTAAGGATAATATCTTCACACCAAAATAACCAGCAATAGCTAAACAGAGATCTTGAAAGTGAAAAGTTCAATGCTTCTACAATCAAGAGCTACATGATTTTTTTTTTTTACTTGCCATCGTGTAAAGTAAGGACTTTTGATCCTTTGCTTAAATGAGGATTAAAGTATGCCATCAGAGGAGCAAGGTACTGTACTTGAGTCATAAGCTTTGTGTCATGGACATCCATGTACAGGAATCCTGTTAGATGACAAAATTGTCAATCTGATGTAATATCATGCAGTGTAGTAACAACACAAGATATAAATGTATCAAAAAAAGTATGTGAACCAATGCCAATTGTAAGCAGTGATGTACTAAAGATGGAAAGGGAGGAAGTGAATAAAAGGGAGGGTTCAGGTGAAAGGACAGAAGGAGGAAGGAGAAAGGAAAGTAAAAAAATAAACAGATTGCATGAAAGAAAAATCAAGATAGACCAAAAAGCACACCTACCAGTGGAAAAAAAAGGAAGAAGGAAGGAAAAAAAGAAAGAAAGACAACAGAAAGAAAAAAGAAAGAAAGAAAAGAGGGTAGAAAGAGAGAGAGAAAGAAAGAAAGAAAGAAAGAAAAAAGAAAGGAAGAAAGAAAGGAAGAAAGAAAGGAAGAAAGAAGGAAAAAAAGAAAACAGGGAGATAAAAGAAGAAAGAAACAAAGAAACTAAGAAACAAACTGATAAAAAAGCAAGAAATGAACAAACAAACAAAAAAACAAAGTAAAAATACTAGAAAAGAACGAAGATTAGAAAGAGCTAGTCTAAGAGCTACACAGGGGGTGTAGAAGTAAGAAAGGAAACCAAAGTTTCATACTTTTGATAGCTAGAACAAATTATTTCATTTGACAAACTATCTTTAAGTTACCTCCAGTTGTTAGCACCACAGAGTCTAGCAGGTGACCATAGTACGGGAACTTGAATTTTAGTGGGTAAGGCTACAAAAAATGAAAAATATTTCACATTTTTGAACGAATTTAAAGCACTTATTAATAATATTGTAAATTAAAATAGTATGAGTAGTAATTAGTGTGCAGTTTGGCCCAGCTGATAACTATAACCCTTCAGTTTACAGCCTAACATTAGTATGCATAAATTATTCTCCCAACTGTTCGCTATACATTTCTTAGGGTGTCGACAAGGAGAATTTGCTGAACAATCATGAGCTCAATGTATAGGTAAACACTTCCTTTATTCTTC